GTCTGTCGGCAGTACGATCCCATCCATCACTAATTCCAACCCTTTATATAATAGGGATTTGAGATTTCAATTAACATTACGGTATCACTATTAGCCACAACAACTTACGCCCAATTCATATACAGTACACAACTATTCATAACAGTTATTATCCGCTATTTTCAGTCATTCATTATTAAGCCTTAATTACTGTATAAATAGTAATGCATTCATAACAGACCCTCAGATAGATAGGTACAGTACAGGTAATCAGTCAAATAAATCATAAGTGAAAGCAATAGTTTAAACCAAATGAATAAGTACTCAGTTTTCTGGTAATTACGAGACTTAACACTAAATTCATTTAAGCAAACCTTTTAAGCAAAAAATTACCCAAAACTTTAAACCCTCTTATCCTCACTATTCATGAAAAGTTAATTTTGGGTTTTTAGCAGAATATTCAGCATTAGTTTACTCTTATGTAAAATCATTGAATACTTGCGTTAATGTAAAGAATATCATTGAAAACAATGAACAATAAGATTAGACAGCATTTGGTGGCAAACCTGAGAAGAACTGAAGGATGTCATCCTTATTGGCGCTGAACGGCAGACCTCGGAGTCGCACAAACGAGTCCTCGTGAGGTGGTGTCTCATCCAAGTCTGTGCCGTGTTTTCGGGAAATCCACTCCATTTCACTCCTTTTCGACGCAAACACCTCGATATACCTGTCATTCAATACAACCATTCAATCACTCAATTGTCTCATCAATTCAAATGCACTTCGAGTATACAATACTCGACTGACAATTGAGGCCTAAGTTATTGAAATCACTTTCAATAGCAATGCAATCCATTGTCTCTACTTTGAGCCCAACTGACCACTCATTCACCAAATATGTGGTCATATCTACCATTCAGACCATAGACTATCTGTTCATCACCGACACTATCACTAACTATACTATCGGTTCCCAAATAGTATCAATCAAATGATATAATCACACAAACAATGGCAATATCTGTAGACCTAATCAATCACTGGTTCAGCGAGTATTGAATACCACACGAAGAGTTGATGCAAACCTGGATCCCATGTTCTTGTGGTTCATATTGAGCGCCACATTGTAGTCATCCTCGGAGTCCAACTCGATGTAGGCCTCACCGGAAGGCCTGCCCTCACGGGACAGAGTCATGACAATACCATTGACACCATTGCGGACATTACAGCCTATGATGAACACCACATCCGTCACACACTTCATCAACGCATCCAAACAGACAACACATACCGTCGAAGAAGGAGACGATCTCCTCGCGGGTCGACTGCCACGGAAGACCTCTGATCCGCACGACATACCCGTCCTCTGCCATCGCTCGCACCCTCTGTCCACTGGATGTCCCACTTCTTGAGCCCCTATTAACGCCTAAATCCGATGCAAATCACATGAAAACACATTTAACTCTCAAATCATTTGTTGTTTTCTCATCAAAAATACCGACAAATCTCTGTTCAGTTGGACGGCGTTTCACGTCAACTAGACTTATAAGGCATACGCCCGGCGCGTGACCGGCATATTCAATAGGCGTCCATCCGCATAATTATAATGATTTTAATTAATCTAAAATGAAATGGTACTTGGAACTAGATAAGTTTTATAAGACATATTTATTTGTAAGGTGTATAACCCTAGACAATTTATCAGGAATGTGGTTCATTATGGGCGCGGGCGGTCGGGCATATTTGTTATGTACTCACAATACTGTCAACACCTAATTAGATCTTAGCATCTATTACGGCACCAAATGATAACTTTTATGACATGTATTTCAATGTATTTCAACAGATTTATGCTTATTATTAGGTATTTATTAATCAATGGTTTAGATAAGTCATAGTTTTCTAGTTAAATAGTATCAAAGTGGCCATGCTTATGTTTGGCACTAACAAAATGAGCAATGTCAACTCACAATTAATAGCCGTTATTGTCTGACATAACTTTCCCTATGGATCGCCATATTACAGCAATTATAATACAGTCAATTCATTTTAAATGCTAATTTCCAACTAACTATAATAGATTAAAATCTACTTTTGAGCCAGGTAACTGTGTTGCAAAGTCAAATAAATAGTTTATTATGTAATTTTTGCAATTATCCATGCTCAAATCTAATTTCATATAACAATTACTAGAATTCTGTATTTGCTGTGCAATGGATTTGACTGTAACTATGAGTCAAATTTGGAAACACTCTCAACTCTATGTCCCATTCATTTATGCTGTACTCTAATCAGTCAAATGGTGCACAGTTTCGAGGGTTTC